TGCTGTCTAAAAGCAGCTTTAGCAGTTTTCTGTAGTTGCCAATAAAGATCCTATAAAAACGAAATGTTCAGTGACTATTATAGTGGAGAGATTCCTTTACGAAGACTAAAGTCTCAGATCCATGTAGTAGTAGTAGTAGATGGCATATTGGCCACATCAATGACATTACCAATTATCCTCTCATTTGTATTAGCATAAAATCAGAAGATGTCTGCTAGCTTCTTATCTGCTGAAGATGCAGTTATTATTATGGACTCTTGGAAAATGTTAAGAACAAATGCTGTCTAAATAATAATAGATAAATTAGTGGTATCAAAGGTAAATTAATATGGTCAAGAAGCAAGTTATAAACCTTTTCTGCTACATCTTCTATATCTTCATCAATATCATGTTCTAGGTCAGGGTTATTCACATTGGCATCTTGCTCTTTACTCTCCTTGTCAACTTCTTCACTACACTCTTCTTCTTCTGGTAATACATCCTATATATATAGTAAATAAGAATATCTAGTAAGCCTTTAATCTTTAATACTTTCATAAAGCATCACTCTACCTTGCTTTTAGCTTCTGTATTTATTACTTCATGAAGGTCAAGATTTATTTTGCAGATAGAGTGACAAACTGAAATCTATATGAAAGCAGGTCAATACATAGAATTTATAATATTAGATCAAACACTTATAGCAGCTGGACATACTGCAGCTTTCTCGTGCATCCATTTCTCCCAGTCCCGCAGAATTCTTGCTTCCTGTCAAGATGGAAGAAGCATTATTACTCATAACAAATATCACATCCTTAAAAATCCTATATACTTACATTTACAGATTTTTTCATGTTCTCAAGTTTATCTAGACACTTATGATCATTAGTCTGGTTCATTGCTGTGTTAAGTGCATTTAAGTATTTGTCCTTTGCTCGTTTCCGGTGCGTTGGAAAAATATGCCGAAAAAATTCAAGTGGTGTAGAGTAATAGAATAGTGAGATTTTTAGGTACAGATTCGGGGTATTTTGGTTAATCTAGTCTATTTTCTTAGATTTTAAG